ATTTTTTGTTGATGCTCTATTCCGTTTTGACGGAATGAAATCACCCCTTTAAAAAATCGGTTTTTTTCTTCCGACGTGAATATCATCGAAACTATGAGAGATAGAAAAAAAATGTTCTTGATCAAAGTTTGAAGTGTACTTTATGATAGTAATAAGAAAAAATTAAAAAAAATTTTTGTTTAATATTTCCGTCACCACTTCACTTTTTTTTATATTTTATAATTTTTTTTATGCACAACATGTATTCCTATTTATATTTATATTATACTACAATAAAAATAGGAATAATTTACTGCGTATGCGTTTTTCACTATTTCAGTCTTGAAATTAATTAATATTCAATATGCTTATTTAAATGCTTAATAAATATTATCTGATAAAATAAGAAACTTCCGTAATTATACGTACAGACTGCTTCCACAATAAGTTGTTTACACCGATTTGACTTGATATTATACGACCTTCAAATTTTGCTTTGTAAGCGTTGTTGAGCCGTGCGCGATAAAAACGATTCATAGTTATACATCCGCAAAATATTGTGAAAATAGATTTGCTTTTATTATTATCTCTTGTTAAATGCAAAAATGCAATCAGAACGTGCTGCGTGAAGAATTGCGCGCAGCGTAAACGAGTACAGATGGTGTACGTATAGAGGCGTTTGTAATTATTTCTCGAAAATGATACTTTGGAAAATAACTTTATCACACATGTGACATTGTTGAATTCGTATTAAAATAACCTTTAATTTAGTCACAAAAAATTTAAAAATTAAAAAAAGTGAAGTAATGGGGGAAATATTAAAAAAAATTTAAAAAAATGTTATTATTACTATCATAAAGTACACTTTAAGTCATTCAACTTTGATCGATAACACTTTTTTCTATCTCTCATAGTTTCGATGATATTCACGTCGGAAGAAAAAAACCGATTTTTTTCAAGGGGTGATTTCATTACTTCAAAACGGAATAGAGCACCAACAAAAAATAGTTTTGTACTACGAATGAACTGTTCTACTTTTACACAAAGTTTCAGATTTTTCTGAATTTTCGGGTTCCCTAACTTCCCTTGTAAGTCCGTGGATTATATCAATAAAGAATTGAATTTAAAATTTCTTTTGTTTGAATTCAGTTGTCTATGCTTCCATTTCGATATTTAAAGTTATAAATACAAAAGATATAAAATGATATCAAAATAATGTAAATAATATACATTTTAACAATGAATATTAAGAAAATAAGTAGAATCTGTATTTTTTTCAGGGTTGTGATAAAAGACAGTTTCTTAATTATTATTTTTTTTACAAAGTAAGAAAAAATTTTTTTTTTTTTCTTTAAGACAACGCGATTTAAATCTCTCGCTTATTGAGAAGACATAGCACTTTACAAAATGTTTGTACTGGACGTAACTATAACTTATCGCCCATATTGTCACATAGCGAGTCTCATATACATATATGTTATCGTGATTCTTAAATGTAACTTCTAACAGCACGTCATAATAACTCTCCAAATAGCGATAAAGCGCGCATATCTGTATACAACTAAGCTCATATCACGACAAATTATAAAAAATTAACAGACAACAAGATGTTGCGGATGGGTGCTCATTGTAAGCACACGAAACATCTTGAAATCAACAGTAATATCTTGCATTATTATTCACAATGCACAAGACTATTATGTTTATATATACACATGTAGTATGCGTGATTAATCAATTGTTAGAGATAGGAGTGCACAACAAAAACTGGATCAACAAGCGTCTGTTTAGAATAAAATATTATGTACTAAAATATCTACTATAGCTCCAAATAAATAAAAAAATTCACGAAAAACTTGCCTATACAATCCTAGTTGTAAAAGCGTGGATAAATAATTTCAATTTAAAACATAAAATATGATATAATAAAATTCAATTAATACTTAATTATGCACAATACAATTAAATCACAAACGTTTCGATCCGTGATGTGGATCCTTTTTAATCCTTTGTATAATGTTTTCCATATGATATCAAACCTTTTCTCTACACGACAATTAATAATTTATTAAATTTAAGAATAGGAAAAGCGAAAATAAATGATAATTCTTAATCGACTTACTTAGAAAGCAAAGGATCGAACCTGAGTGAGCCACGAGTTACAATGGTTATAATGCGCACAGAAAGAGGAGACATAATATAAATAGGTCCCCCTCTTCATACATCCAACATATTATAAATGCGCACAGGATATAGCGGGTTAAGGAAATGATTTCGGGCCCCGCGCGTAATCAATCGTTATAGTGGGCAAAATGTCCATCCAGATAAAAGAAAATTTTGTGCCAAGTTTCATTTCAAAAGACCCACACAATTTCGAAATATCACAAGAGATGTGATTTTTTTTTGATATTTTTTTTCTCCGCCAAATTTGAATTAATTTTTACAAAAAAAATCATGATTACAAAGGCTATCCATATACATAAGTTTGAATTTTGTGTCGTTCTGTGCTGAAAATT